GAAATGCCTTTGGGCTGGTAGTGTAACTCCTTACACACCAGAGCTCCCTAGTCAGCAGTACTGCACTAGTCAGTATTCTCAGAATCCTCCCCACCTTTGTCTGTGCTATTCTCTTGACCCAGAAGTTCTTGGATAACCTGGAACATCTGCTGGGCAGTTTTGATCCCTAATCAAATTGCACTTTATCAATAAACCCCTCAGGCCTTTTCTCTATATCTTCTCTTTAACATTTTTTTAAAGGAGGCCTACTGGTGGAGTGTATTATGTGTTGAACTGCAATTAAGGTAGAAGTTCAGATTCACCAGCTGTTCAGTGGTAAAATGATGGGCAGTTTCCTCCTGTAAAGATTTACAGCTTCAGAAACCCTGTGCAGAGTTATCATGGTCAGGCTTGATTCTATGGAAGTGGGCTTTTGTGTTCTATACCAAAGGCCACATGAAGTGCTAGATATTTATTCTTTGTCTATGTGCTCTATAGCTTGCTAGATGATGCAAACATTTAAGCACCCAACTATATGCTGGAAGGACGGTAGTTAGGACACACCAGGAGGTGCCTCAGAAGACAGGCCTGGTGATCTGCTTTCAATGCAACAGCAGCTAACAACATCATGAGCTTGCTGGAGACAGCAGGAGCTCAGTGTAGTAGAACATCTCATCGCCCATCCTGGACATCCAGATTTGATTCCTAGGCAATGAACCCCAAGCACAAGTACCACTTATGTATCAATGGAGGCTCGCCATATAACTATGAAACTGAATGATTTCAGCAAAGCTTCCAGACAAGACAGTTCAGAGAGAAAAGCCTGATCTACTTCCAAAAACCAAACAATTTTCATTCTACAGATCACAAAGGTACAATCTCATTGTGCATGGGGCTGGCACAAGTAGAGACTCGTTGTTTCTCAGGAACCTGATATAGTATGTATCATGAAGAAGGAACCAAAAGTCACTAAATTGAATACATGAATCATATTTATATCCCCAAAACCTTGTAATTATACATCAATATACATCCATGAACACTGATATTAAGTGCCGTCAAGGTGGCACAAACTCATAGCGACCCGATGTAAAACAATATGAATTCTTGCTCAATCATGTACCATGATTTTTAAGTCTACCAACTTTGAGCAACTGTATGTTAAGAGAAATAAATGTTTACTGATATAGATCTCTATTTAGCAGCTCTCACTACCCCTAGGTCTGAATTTAGTATAGGATAGAAAACTTCTCAAAGACCATCTCTTTCACCTTCTATAGAATTGATATGGTTCTGGAATGCTGTACTTTCATTTTTACTACTTACTGGTTACAGTGTAGATGAAAGGCCTCATTTAGCTAAGCTCGGATAAAACACAATTTCTCAGTCCTTCTTGGAGCATTCCTCTGTAGTTCCCATTGAACTCATTTTAGAAACTCAAACCAACTTTTCCTAACATATCACATGCTCAGTAACATAGACACGATGTTGCATCTCATCTTTTCTTCTCTGAAAAAGATACAGAGAAAATAACCTCTCCACACAGCGCAGAGATAATCATATCCCTCTAAACTCCTGATGTAGAGACTCTATTCTCTTTGGGCCAAAAAGCTCCTGCTGCAATGAAGCTGCCGCTAAAGGATAGTTACCACTCATCTCCTGACTGCCCCAGCACCTGCTCCTAAGGAGCCATATGAGTCCTCACTATAAAGCAAGGACTGATACGCACATTAGGAAAAAGGAGAACATCAGTGGGATATGTCTTAAGTACCACTCTACACCCCTGCCTGCATTGTCTGGTCATTTGCAGCATAACTTTCATTGTCTTAAGACAACTGTTCACTGGTGAAAAGCTGTACCTAGAAATCATAGAAAAGCGGGTCCAGAGAAAAATCATCGCTGCCAAAGTATCGGTTGGTTCTTTAAGGAGGTAGTAAGGCCTTTACAAAGAACATCTGGTACTACCAATCCACCATAAGGAATAGGGATTACTGACAAACTGGCCTTCATATGATTCCCTCTCTTGCCCTGAACTCTCATGAAGTAATTGAAATGGCTAATAACAGCTACTATTTACTAAATACCTGAGAAATGTTTCATTTTAAATACAGCATCTCATTTAATCTTCAAGATCAATCCACAAAACAAGTTCTCAAACCTCAACTTGGTTTGCACCAGAATCTCTCCTGAACCCTGGAAAAGTCCCACACTTAAGTATCTGGGGTGAGGACCAAAACTTTTCATTTCTAATAAGCACTCATGTCATGCTGATTCTTCTGGTCCACATTTCACTCTCTGTACGCCACAGCTATTTGAATATAAATATTCAAGTTAAGTCTGAAGATTAAGTCCATGGTTCCACAGGTGGTCAAGGAAAAAAGAGTGTTATTTACGAGCTATGCCTGATTCTGTAGGCAATGCTCATAACCATGCTATGTGCAAGTGTGATTATATATCTGGTCTTGCCATATTCTCTATTAACTACTTAAAGCAGTCATCACATGCTAAATCTTCCTGTATCTCTCAGAGACTGGTCCTGCCTGTTAAGCTGTAGTAATGTTGACAGTTACCACATATGTTTTATACTGGTTCCTACATCTTTATATACTTCTAAGAGTCATAAATTCAAACTCAGTTTTAACCAAAGAAGGCTGACAAATCCAGTTTCTATACCTAGTTGGAAAAAGTTCAAGGCAAGTTAAGTTACTCTCTTTTTTCCATTTCTACAAACTAGGGTTAACATCCTAAACTCATCTCCATGGAATTCAAGGCAAGTTAAGTTACTCTCTTTTTTCCACTTCTACAAACTAGGGTTAACATCATTAACTCATCTCCATGGAATTGAAACAATTTAAAAAACTGTACATCTCTCAATTACTTCACACTCTCTCAGTGTCTTGTGTGTTATGCCCATGCTGTAATCAGACCTAGTTAACTCCTATTCATTCTTCAGAATTCTATTAAGAAGTCTTTCTCCAGAAAGTACTGACTCTCTAAAACAGAGGGGTACTATAGCCTTTGCTATCTCTAGGAACTCCCATCGCTCTATCATAAATGGCTGTTTTCCACCTGCCAATGGAGTTTATACTCTTCAGCAACTAGTTTAAGAATCTATCTTAAGATATCTTTAAAAATCTAATGAGGATTGCCTAGTACAGTATCTGGTACATGGCAGGCACTCCAAATCCGTTTGCTGAATGAATGAAAGCATAAATGAATGAATGCAAAGCTGAAAGTACGAATTTCCACACAAAAATATCATTATGTCTGATGCAGTAGTTCTCGGAGATGAATCCTGGGGAAGAGGAGGGTAGCTCAGGTAACAAATAACAATTTTGTCTTTTCTTTGCCCCATCATTGAAGACAGGTGCTGCTTAGGACATCTTCATCTATGAGACATTATAGTTGGACAAAATGCTCCTGGGTCGTAGTATCAGGAGACACCACTCATTCATTAAGAAGTAAATATCACTGCATTCCCTTACTCTTCCCAATTTCTCCACCCCACTGCAGTCAAGGGCTTTGGCACAAGGATAAAAGAGTCAGATCAGACACAAGGGTGCGGACCTGGCAACAAGCACAGAAGCATCTCCCATCCTGCACCAAAGCCTGCAGGAAAGCTCTAAAAAGACAGTGACTAAGGCCCCAGATCAAGTCCAGCTTGTGTAGTACCGAAAATGGCAAAAAACTGACAATTTTACAAAGGCTTGATTGTCAGGTATTTTTTTAGGAAAAAAAAAGTTTCAAAATAGAGGTTTCAGCCCTATCTCCAGAAAACTTGTCCTGATGTATCCATGGCATATAAAGCTAATAGCCAACCACAGCACCTTCCTCCTCACAGGCAACCTAACTGCAACACGCACCATGACAGGCACTTCCCAGCCCAGGTCTGTGACTCTGGCTTGCGCCTTACCTTGTAACACTCCTCTTTAGAGAGCCTCTAAGCTTTGTCTCCTCCTCCCTGGATAATCAACTGATTCTCCTCTATATACAGTAACAGAGGCCACCTCACCCTCCATCTTTTTTCAGTCTAAACCAACCTACAGCAGATTGGCCCCACCAAATTACTTTAAATAGCTTCATGCCAAGGAAATGGCAGCTTTTATTAAAATAAAAGCCCACTAAGCAAGCAATGGCCTGTGAAAAGCATGAGTCTGGCATAATTATGAAGGCCGAGGTTAAGGTTATCAAAAGAGGCATATAATGAATGATTTCCCTTAAGCCCAAGGGAGAAGCATATCTACATATCCTTAGCTATACAGAAGCAAATAGAGACTTTACACTGCAGGTCTAAATAACATCTCCCCAGTGGAGGAAAACAAATTCAGAGTTACCCAGTTTTAACTTTAAAGTCATTCCTCTTTTGAATAAAAAATAAACAAGAAGAAAGGCCTACTAGACAGAATTCATATTAACTTCATCCATATATTATTTTTGTAATGTTAGCTTTCTTCTGGGGACCTAATTACAATTGAGTTAGAAAACAAACCTATTCAAACACACCAAGGGTCTGAGCTTTTGGAAAGCCACATTTCCATTTTCTGAAAATCTTTTCTTTCAATGCCTGCTCATTGAAGTGGGAAGTGTAAGAAGGAAAACAAACCCCCTCTCTTCTTAAAGGTCTCCCATCTCCACTTTTCAGGTTTTCCATCAATATTTCAAGTTTTAGGAGAACAGTAAGTCTACTATTTTGTATCTAATGTAAATTTAATATTTCTCTAATTTCATTACTCAGTGGTTTGGGATGGTTTGTTGTGTGGGTTTTGTTTTTTTTTTTTTTCCTTAAATAAAAAAGGTCACCTAACTAAATCATTTCCGGCAACCTGCCCTCATCTCCAATAAGCCTTGTCACTTTTAATTCTCTCAAGGACAATGAATTATAGAGTGGGGAACAGGGTAAGGGAGGGTCAACTGGTCAAAATTTATTCATACAATCAACATACACAACCAGAGAGTTCAGTTGCATCAACACACGATTTTAATTCACTGAGCACTTCAGAGCCGCCACCCTTGTCCCGTACCTTCCGCCAACACCTCGTCCACAGTGACCTGCTGTCGCCCGATGCCAAAGACTCTTCCGATGTAGCCACTGCCCAGGCCCGAAGTGCTGCCCGCTCCTCCGCTGGATCCAGAGCCCAGGCCAGAGCAGCCCTGCTCACGTCGGGAATCGAAAAACTTCTTCATCTTGCAAAAAGGAACAAGCAAAGCAAAATACCGATGGTTTCAAGATTGGGGCGGAGGAGGGTGGTGAAGATCCAAGGATTTCTTCTCAAAGGGGAGCCACCCGAATCCGGCCTTGGGGGTGGGGGCTAAGGAAGGATGGCTACAGGAATATGCGTGTCAATCGCGCAGCAGGTCCCCTCCTCCTCAGGAAACCGATTTGTGTTAAGTTTAAACCTATGATGACAGAGAAAGAAAAAGGATGAATCAGTAATATACTTAAAAATTCAGCTGTTCGGTCCTAGGAGGGGCAAAAACCATCATCCCAGGGAAACGTTCCATCCATTTTTTTTTCTCCCCCGAGAAAAAGCTCTAGGGTTGGAAATGCGTAGCTAGGGCTCAAGAAAGGAGGAGTTCGAGCCGCCTTGGGCAGCACCAACCCAGCTGAGCGCTGCCTCCCCCTTCCTCCCTGTCCTCCCCCTGCCTCCCGCAGCATGCACACAGAACGCACTTGAGACGGCTCGGCGGCTGGTGCCCGGCTACCAGCGCCGCAACATTGTCACGGCCGGCCTGCGACGCGGAGAAGCGGCGGCGCCGAGCTGGAGCCAGAGCGGGAGCTGGAGCAGCGTCCGGCGTCCGCCCGCCGCCAGCTGATCCCGGGAGCGCCCTCAGGAGACCGACCTGCACCCCTCCCCCGCGCGCTCCCGCCCGACCCCCACCGCCCCGGAAGTGAACCGTCCCGGAAGTGCCTCAGGGAGGCGCTGCGAGGGTCGGAGCTCTCACGCCGATAGCCGCTCAGTGGAGACAAGAGAAGAAGCAGTGGACCGACAGAGAAAGGAATGAGGAGACATGGTCTTTCTGAGAACAGAGTTTTGAAAAACAACGTATCTGTCTCCCGACTTGCAGGGCACCCTGGGAAAGGTAGTTCGGCGCAGTCCTGAGACTGGACTACAACTCCCAAGGGTGTCTCTGGAGGAGTGGGCAAGGCTGCAGCGACGGCCTCCAAGGCCTCAGAGGTGGTTAGTTGTGTGATGCATACGTGGAAATTAGGTTATTTAACCACCACTGCCTGGTATTAGAGTTTCGCTCCGGCTGTATGTCCCACCCTTCTGGAGCCATTTTATTTGCGGCTTGACCTCTTGGCATAAGGCATTCTGGGGCTTGTGGTTTGCAAACGGATGGAAGCTGACACCAAAAGGACGCGCCTTAACTGCTGAACCCTTTGCACGTTCTGCGAAGCTTTTGATTTCACGTGGGCGGAGGGTGGAATAGAGAAACAAACCAACGAAATTTGTGCTTATGGTTTTGGTTCGGTCCACATGGGGTGGTCTTCTACACCATTCTTCAAAAGTACTCAACTGGTACTTTTGCTCCTAAATGTTACTCTGAACAGGGTCGGGTCGCCTCGAGGTAGGCGCTGAGAACACTAAGACTTAGAGCCCCCAGGAATCTAAGACCCAAACTTTGAGACTGCAGTCGTCACCAAACCAAAGCAAACCAACCCCACTGCCACTAAGCTGAGTCTGACTCGTGACCGCCTCCATCGGTTTGTGGCTTGTGGAGCACACAACGTCATCTTTCTCCCTAATCCAGTAGAGGATTTGAACCACTGACCTTTCGGGTTAAGCAGCTCAATACGTAAAGGTACTTAGGGATTGTTCCTGTGCCTGCGTGATGCTCAATTCTTCCATCCTTGCTGATACTACACGTAGTTCTCACCCTCACTGATCACTTCTTATATAAGAACTCTATGCTGACCTTTTTATTTTTTTTTACTTAAGATTCCCCTAGATTCGTATTTTACGAATTCTTCAAATTCTTTTCTCTTTGAATTCCCCTTGATTCGTATTTTACCCTGGTATAATCTCACTGTGGCAGAAAGATGGGCAGTCTCCTCCCATGTGATTTACTATCTCTGAAACCCCGCTGGAGGGTTAGCTCAGACTCATGGCACTCAATAACAGTCATCTGCAGGCACAGGATGGAGGTGGACGGTGTGATTTGCATGTGCCAAACGTGAAAAGTTTGAAAGACCTGTTCGTACTCTTCTTCATCCCTCACTCTCCTGATAAAGGACATCTAATTCCTGGTAGGGCTGGGGACTTAACATGATTTTTCTTTATCTAACCCCCCAGATAAGGTATTTTTTTCACACACACACCCCCACTCTTCTTTCTTCTTGACAACTCTCTGCTTTATATTTCTCCTCAATTTTTCCCCCAACAGTCCCCCTTTTTTAAAGACAGCTGAGAAAAATGTCTAGGGCAGGAAGAGGGGAGGGAATCTAGCATTCTTTATTTCTTTGAGATGAATTTAAACTGAGTTTTAACTAGGGATGGTAGAGAAGACTTCTCCTTTTTTTAAGTTTCAAGTAATGTCACTGCAGTTATACTTCCTGAGTTCATTGTTCTGAAGAAATTAATGTTGCCTCAGTTCACAAGCCCAAGCAGCCAGCTACAGGTTGAAATACAAGTCAAGGTCATTATCTCAGTCTGAACCAACTCATAGCCAACCATCGAACTAGTTTTTAGAGATTAAATTACACAGATGGAGATTGTCCTTTTTTCACATTTCTTACAAACCATTCTGATACATGTCCAAGTTTGAGAAATTTATGTTTCACCAAAGAAACATCTAACAATTATTTCCTGTCTTTAAAGAAGTAAAAATATTTGGTGAATTGAGGTTATGTTTGTTAGGGTATTTTTTTCTGATTAGAAAAGTAATTTTGAAGAAAACTCCCTGTCCCTTATTGAAGAAAAAGTCATCTGCTCTGTGATAACTTCTAGTAATTCAACTAACTCTACTGTTCTATGATGACTGCTATAATTTTTTTGTCTATTGCACTTTAGAATGTTTTCCATATATAAATACAATGATATTTTGATCATATTGGAGCATATTATATATTTGATATATTCTATTTTACAATGTTTTCTGTTAATAGTTTTCCATTTCATTATATAGTCTCTAAAATACTCTTTTAAATAGTAACTTAGTAATCAGCCACTCTTTTACTGCTGAATCTTTAAAGTTTTTCTTTTACTTTTCAAAGAGGAGCGAACTGGGGTGGGGGAGGGGCAGCGGGGAGGGCTGGGCAGGGAGAAAAGTGCAACGATGAATGGATGGAGATCCAAAATCTCTGTAAATGTTCATTAAAATTATTAAAATAGTCCGGGCATTTGAATTGCGCTTCCGCCATCTTTCCATCCCTCAGTCAGACGGGGCCCAGAGA